GGGGTGCGGAGGCGTTGCCTTCCGAGGTCGAAATTCCACGCTAGCAGCTGTGGCCAGGGGAAGACGAAGGCGAGAAAACGAGAGACGGGGACAACGAGAGGAAGAACAAGAGATGAATCAAGGAAATTGGCGGAGCATCTGGCATAAGCAGGGGTGCTCAACTAATTCAGTTTCGTGGGACACAAAAGAAGTTACAGAAGAGAAAAGCGGAAATATGCTAGTTTACTAAAAAGTTTTAAAATGCAAATTTCAGAATTTTGTGTGCTTTAGAATGAAGGAGACAAAAGCAAGACAGTAATTCAGTGATGAATATAAAATTATTTCGGGTAATTCATTTTCCGAAGTATTATTTACTTCAGACACCTAAAACATTCATTGATTTAATTTCGTTATAAACAAAATTCTGAAGTACTGATTAGAAAGCTTTATTTCTTTTTCAAAAAAAAATTATCTCAAAAGAGTATTTATGATTACATTACGGAAGCTATGGAGCAATTTGTATTTCTGCGTAATGCGTCGACGTTTGCAATACGTGGCATGCAAAACAAGAGCAATGATTATTCATGACTATTAAACACAATTTTCCAAAGAATCACCCAAATGTCATATAGGTGGTCTCTAAGATCTCGTGAGTGAATATTGTATTAAAGGAGAATAAGTCGAATAAATATTTAAAAAGTAGAAAAGAAAAAGCGAAGAAACATCTTTAGTATCATCCTTTAAATTCCAGAAATAACTACTCTCAGTAACTAGATGTATATCTTACAAAAATGTCAAAATCTTTATTGTTCCAGACGCGTAAATACTCCCACAAACATATTTGAAGGATAAGGTCGGAAGTCATTGCTGCTCTCATTTTATTTAACGAACGTCCTCTTCCACAACTATGAAAGAACATGAGAAAAACATCAGATCAAAGATTTCTCAAACTGCTTTAAAAATTAAAGCGATATCATCAGGCGTAATCAATTCTCAACAAATTTCATCAGTTCTGCATACGGAAATACATGTTAGTAATTCCCATTCACGAATATTATTTCTTATATACATTACAACCAATGTTGTTCCGCAAGCGCTGTGCCCCCAATCTCTGTTAGTTACTATGTATATTACGTACATTACAAAGCTTATTACAAAAACATACTTTTGTGTATTTAAACCTTAAAGAACGTAAAATTGTTTTTATAATAAAACTAGCACTCTTCTTCTTGCCAGTGATTTCGGGCGCGTCAACTACTAGGGTCATTAGTCCTGTAAACGTAGTGCATGTTTTTGCTCGGGAGGTGGCGGTGGACTTCCCCGCTGAATGGCGAGATCTGTTGCGATCTACCGTCAGCTAGCGGGTTTTCCCCAACCAGGTATCTCCCAGCAGCGGGACACCGCCTCAACCGGGAAAAGCTCGAACTTGCCGACCGGTCCCAGCATATGTGTTGTGTAGTGCTCGTTATTGTAAGTGTATGTAAGAGGTGAGGATAGGGCAAAGAAGAAGGAAAAATCGAGCGCGGTCCATGGACCGTTTGTTAAGGTGCTGCTCTGGCATTCGCCTGGAGTAGATCGGAAAAACCACGGAAAACTACCGATCAGAGCATCCGGCCGCTAGGATTATCCTTCAGACAGCTGAATTCGACCTAGCTGACAAGCTAGTGTCGAAAATCATACCACCGTCGGGACTCGAACCTAGGATCTCCCGGTCAGAAGGACTGCAGAGAAATCACTTGAAGATCTGAGCCACCTTCCCCGGTCTTCTTCTTCTTCTTCTTCTTCTTCTTCTTCTTCTTCTTCAAAATTACAGTGTTATTGCTACTGAAATAAAATCAATGAAACACGCCACATGTTAAACCAAAACGTTCCATTAATTTGGAGAGACATAAAGGGGTCTGATTTACCAACCGCCAACCACAATTCCCCACCCTGAGCGCCGCGCCTGGACTGGTCGCGTGCAGGGAGTTGCTCACCCCTGGCGGAGTGCACCGCAGCGCCCTCGCGTCCGACGCGCGCACTTTATTATTACTGTTATTGCCGGTGCGCCGCGCCCGTGCCAGCGCCGGCTTCTTGGGCGCTGGTACGTGCCGCAGAGAAAAAGCAGCCAATTAGGTGCCAGGGCGCGCGCCGCCCGATGGGCTCGGGCTCGGTTTCTTGCGAGGGTGGTGAGAGGAGAAGCAGGAGAAGGAGGAGAAGGAGGAGAAGGAGGAGAAGGAGGAGAATGAGGAGAAGGAGTAGGAGGAGAATGAGGAGGAGGAGGAGGAGGAAGAGAGGAAGAGGAGGAGGAAAGGGAGGAGGAGATGGCATCGGCGGGCAGTGCCAGTTGATGGTGGAGAGGAAGGAGGATCTTCTTTCCTTACGGAGGTGAGCACCTTGCGAGGGCGCGACCGTCTGCAGAGGCGGAGCGACTGAAGAGGAACGAGCGAAGGAGGGGTTGTGGCGTAGGAAGTTGGACAGAAGCAGCTGGTGGCGCCGGAGGACAGTGAGCGAAAGCGCACGTAGGAACGTGCAGGGGAGGAGAGCTCAGGAGAATGAAGCGTTGTGAAGGAAGCGGCTGTGGAGGCAGCGTCGGTAAATGTGGCATTGACGGCGCAGGGGCGGTCAGGCTGGGAAAGCGGACAGTAGTGGTTGGTGGTGGAAGTGAACAGTGAGCGGAAGCGCACGTAAGGGAGGAGGACTCAGGTGAACGAAGCTTTGGTGACGTTGTGACGGAAACGGCCACAGAGCAGAGGCGTGGTATCTGGGAAGGCGGATAGTGGCAGCTGGTGGTGGCAGAAGTGAGCGAAAGGCAGAGGGCAAACAGGATCGTACGGAGGAAGAGGGGCGGAGGAGAAAGGGACGTTGGACGAGGTGTGGATGCTGAGAAGCCGACTGAGGAGCAGCGGTGGCCCAGTAGCCGTGTTGGTGAGCAGCGACGAGAGGCGGAGTCGTGGGCAAGGCGGAACGACTTGCGGGGAAGGGCCGTTGGCAACGATGTGGGGAATGGGGCGGCGATGGGAGTCTCAGTGGCGAAAGTGACAAGGCAAGGTGGCGACGACAGGAAAAGAAATACGCAGCGAAGTTCTGTTGTTAGTACTAAGGGAGCGGGTTCTGGTTTGAAGTAAGATATTTTGACATCTTTTACATTTTCTTTCATACATCTGGTGAAAGAAAGATGACGTTATTTTCATAAGGTAAAGCAGCACCAAAATCCTGTCTTTTTTTTTTTTTTACAATTTCTTTTCTCGTCAAATGTTTTTTTAGTTAACTGTCACCTGAGTGATAAATACAATCTAAAGAAGCGGTCAGTTTACGCTCTCGGTTACCCAACGCCCAAGCTCAAAATTAGCATTGTGCATTAGTAACTTTCGTAGCTAATTTTTAGAAAGGAAAATTTTTCGTAGCTAATTTTAAGACGGGAACATTTTCTCAGAGCATTAACTACAATCAGGTCAACGATTTTCTCCAACTCCTCGGAACAACCTCAGAAAAAAGGAAATTTTCGGCGATAACATCAATGTTTTCTAACCTGTATTCATGGCATATATCTGAGACGCAGAATAAACACACTCTTCTTCTATCTTAAAAATGATAGATTTCAGAAATAAAAAACGAGTTCGGATTAACTTATATTACTAAGCTTATTAAGTCGTGATCATATTGATCATACTCTGTGTTTAAAATCAGTTTCTAGTAAGGTGTATATTTTCTGGATATACCTATCTGTTATGGTTCTTTATATTATTGAACAGCGACAATATTATTCAGTCACTTTCTAGTAGCTGAGAAAATATTAATACATATAATTGCATTAATCTGAGAAATAACATAAATGTCAACTGAGAAAAAAACCTAAAGCAAATGGATAAGCCAACAATAAAGAAAATGAAGTTCTCGTAAAAATAATCGGGTACAGCAAACGTGACCTTTACGGCAATTGACGAACCTTAAACAAAGCACTCGGAACGCAAAAAAGGCCGACGATTCGCTTCAAATTCCGCATTTTCTTTTCGTCGAGCAAACCGCCGCTTCAATTTGATACACCTTTTTTCCAGTAAACAATTTCCACTTGCTTTGTCAAAGGGCCTCGCTTGAATGCACCGCAGCGGGAACGCGGCGGGTGGGCCACAGCGTACAAACGAGCACTGCGCCCGCCCGGCGCAAAGTGCGGACCTCGTCCGCGGGCGACAGATGGGCGAGTGCACGCGGCCGGGAGGGGGTGGGGCGGGACGGTCAAACGGACGTCCCGCGTACAATAGGCGACGCTTCCACGGGCGCGGTCAGATGGACCGTTCTGCATACGCGCCCTCGCCCGCGTCCTCCCCGCCGCCCCCGCCACGCCCGCCGAGTCTCTGCGCCGGACGATCGGCCGGATGGACGAATGGGAGGGCGCGGCGCAGCGGAGAGCTCGCGGTCAGAGTTGGACGGGCGAGAGGCTCGTGCAGTTCGACGCGAAGTGTCGCAGGGCGCTGCGGACCGAGAGGAGCGGAGCGGATGGAGAGGGAAGAGCCGAAGCGACTCGGGGTTAGAATCCGCGGGGTGACGAGAGTTCAAGCCACGGCTCACAGAGCGGGGCAGGATGGAGTAGGG